CATAAATACACCACTGGTATATGTTACATATACACTAATAAAGTATAAATTTTCAAATGTAATTTTTTTGTTAAAAATTAATCTGACTTACAGTTGTACTAATGTCTAATTGTAATTTAAATTACAATTATATCATAAAATATACTTATTATATTTAGTTATATTACAGGCTGATCGAATATCTTCGCTGAGAATCGTTATTCGTGGTAAACRATGATTTTAGGTTATGATTGAATTCAAATCTAACATATCCATTACAGTGATTTACTAGATATCTACCTAATTATWACAGAGCGTTACCCACTTATACCCATCTTTTTTTAAAGATTTTTTGGTACATATATTTTAAATTTTAAAGTAATGAAAAATGAAAATACAAATACATACAAATATACAAACATATAATACAAACAAATTACATATACCAACCTACATTTAAAAAAAAGCAAAACATTTATAAGCGATTATTTGAACCATTTGTATTATATATATATATTTGGGCTTTTCATTTTGAAATCGTTCGACTACTATTACCTACATGTATCGTAACTATGGTAATTGAAATATAAATGATAAACCATCATGCATTCACCAGTTATAAGTATAAATTATTATTATTATTTTATTTCTACAATATATTTCAGAAATGTTACGGATTCAATTTGAAGTCTTGAATTCAAGCATAAAAAAATATGTGTTCGTGAATTTAGCCATATGTATTGTGAGTTTATACTATATAATATACTATATACTAGCTGAACCCGTACACTTCGTAGCACGTTAAAAAGCCTACCTCTTAAATGTCTCAAACTGTGTGTTAAATTCGTTATAATACTTGTGATCATGCTTACATCATTTTTTATATCTATATATAAATAATGGTTAAAATATACTAAGTAATAATCTTACACTAATAATCAGTTTAGTTTATCATTATGTAATTTTATTCGTTTTATTGAGAAATGTCTGACTCTTGAAGTATTCAATTGAATGATATTTATTGAAATGCATTTGGATACACAATAATTTTTTGTTCTTCCTTCTGGCGCGTATACAAATAAATCAGAAAGGTTTCCTCTGTATAAAATTAACTATAACCTGATAAAATAAAATATTTATGCTAAAAATAAGTTGAATATAATAGAGTTTCGTTGGTAGAAAAAAATGTATCGTGAAATAATCTACAAATACCAAGCTTAAAAACTTGAGCATACAAAAATGCCTCACCTATTCTTTTATATGTACCTACCTATAAGGATTAAATAATATTATACAAACTATGTTGATAAACAATGTCGATAATCTTACACCAGGTGTTGACGTATTTCAATATGATGAATTCAATAAACTACATCGCAATCGCAATTATCGTCGGTGCTATGTTGAAGGTAAAATCGAATCTCTCGTATAATACATTATGCATTATATAAAACAGGCAGTCAAATATTTATAAATTTATATTATATCGTTTAAAAATATTTTTAAAATTATTTACAGATAATAATATATATATATTTTTTAGGGCAACACCAATCGTGCGATGCCTTACTCACTGTTCCTAACGGCAATTGGATGCGTGTTTGACATTTTTTCTGTTCTTTTCCGCTCCACTAAGTATACATAACTATATTTATTATTATTATTAAATTCTTTTTTTTTTCAATATTACAGTTACAGTTAATTTGTTTATTATTATTATAATACCAATTAATTGGCACAGGATAATTTAAAAATAAACATCTTATGTTGAAGTTATGATAGTTCGAGTTGGGCCTATGTCAAATTCTTCCATTATATTATGTGCATTTTCAGTGAGTATATATGTATATACATTATTAAAAAATAAGTTCCTTTTTTAGTAAAATAAATAAATTTAATCATATTTTTAAATATCATTACTTATATAGATTAAAAGTACAATTTAGTATTTAATAAATGGTTTTATATATATATACCTATAAAATTTACAATATATTCCTCATGGCACAATGAATAATAAATGGTAATATTTTAAAAATGTGTCTATAATAATACTATAAAATTGTTGAAATATCATTAAATAAAATAAAAATGAATAAAATCGTAAAAAAAATTTTTTGGGATGTGGATAAAAAGTAAAAACCCTTCATATCAAGAGTTTTATTGAAAAAATAAAATCACGCTCCACCACCATGTTGAACTTCATTTACACCACTGACGTGCTTATATAACTTAACTTTTGTGTATATTTTATATAGTTTTCCTGTACGTAATCTTCTACATATTGATGCTATATTGTTATTGGCTGCATTCCATGGCTGTGGCTCAAAAACAACAAATAAGACTTCAATTGGGCTTATATGACGATAACAAGAAATAGAATCGCGCTGTTCAGAAATATCTACTATAGATTAAATTAAATTGTATTTATTAATTCGTGTAGCATGTAATTATGATTAGTATTTACATAAAATAATAATAGTTAGTAAATAATTGGTAATAATACAAATCAAAAAAGGTGGGCATTGACTGGACAAGTGAGTATCACTGTGCTGTATAGTACCCAATAGGTGTAGCATTATCCACCGGAATGGATGGGTTCAATTTGAATTCAATGAATTCAAAGGTATATTATTGTATTCAAAAACGATTCTGAGCGAATACGGTCCTGTTGGCCTATATTGCTAAATATATTATTCGATGTATTTATTTATATTGCTACTAAATTAATTTATTTTACAAATAATAATACTGTACGTTGAATTAATCATTGCCGAAAACATTGAATTTGAAAATTTCATATTGTGTATTGTGTAAATGAAATATGTGATACGTGTATGGTGTATTGTAATTATGATCTAAAAAAAATAAAAACCGTACTATTATATAAATTGTTGTATACTAAACGTACGAATACTCAATACTCTTTTACTTAAATAATAAATCATGTTAAGGTTTATATTAGTAGGTAATTTTTCTCTGACGTGGTTGCAATACTATCCATAAGCTGATGACTATGTGTCACCAAAAAGTAATTACATAATTATTTATAATCACATTGGTACACAAATAATAATATGTATAAACACCAACACTCCCCCCTCCCCCAAAAAAAATAAAAATAAAAAATATAATCAAATAGGATTAAATAAAATAGGTGCTTGCACAAAATAATATGTATTAGTATTGTATAATAAATAAAAATAATAAAAATACAATTGTGACTTAGTGTGGTGAGGTGGTTGATCGCAGTTCCTTGTGTGTCAAGTATCATCCAGCGATGCTAGCTCCGATATGGGTAATCATCTGGGTTTTTAGCGACGAATCCTCGCTCAATTTACACATATTGTGTTACTCTTACAGTCTTACTAAAACCCAATTATAATACTTAAAAACTAAAAAAAAGAGTAAAATTCTACATTTTTTTAAATATTATTATAATTCTTTTACCATTGTAATAATTGACAAAACATATGAAAGTATTGATGTATTTTTGTCTATAAATTATGAAACCGCTATTATTTTTGGATAATGAATAGCATCATCTGTTATTTGTTAATGTAATGGTATCAATAAGATAGATTTTCTCGTGGCTGCATGTTACTTGCGTCCCCAAAAAAAATATATTTTTCAGGTAGTAAATTTGACCGGTAAGTTGCGTCCCGTTTTGGGGGACGTAAGTCAGCCATATTATTATCATCGATATTATTTTCAAAAATCATTAAAATCAATAGTATCGTGTCACTAAAATCGATAGTTCATAAATTGCTGTACTGTATACATGTATACGATGTATACATGTGTGTGAGTGCGTGCGTTACTTACAATATATATACAATTTATCTATGATAGGTACTTTATGATAGTATATTATATTATTAACTTATGTCATATGTGGGTATTATTTTATTTGATGAAGGTATGGGAACATGTATACATAATACATCTTGTTGGTTGTTAGATTCGATAAGATATAGCAATTTCGTCGATAATCTTTTGTATTTTACTCGCATTATGTTTTCACATTTTACTTTTGTTCAGTATGATTCGGTCAATTCGTCTTATTAGACCAATAGTTGTGCAATTACCACTCATCAAATTAAAAAAAAAAAAAAAGTTAATTTAATAAAATACGAATTTTTAAGCTATGGAAGAAATGTGTAGTTCTAAATTGGGCGCGAATAATGGCTAGGTTAGGTTTTATATTATTATTATTGCAATTGAATTGAACTGATAATTTATTATAACCATTTTTATTTGTATTAAATTTGTATCATCAATGTACATTTTTATATCGATTATATCGATATTTTCGGGACGCAATTAGGTCATAGAAAAAGGTATACCGGGACGCAAAATACGCTATGACCTTTTTGAATCTTTTTTTTGCGGGACGCAACTCACCTACTGATAATAATTTCGGACGCAAGTAGTATGCTCCCATTCTCGTGAGTTTCCATCGAATTTTAGAAGGATGATATCAGTGATTTCTTCTGCTGTTACATTTCTCGAAGAGATAATATCTCTTTCACATAGCCCCTGGTAAGATTTATTGGACAGATTAAAAATGTCAAGATAAACTGCAAAAATCAACTTTTCCCCATTATTTACCACCCGTCTAATCGTGGGATTGACAGAAACGTAACCATTTTCATTTTCTTAAGTTCCATTTCCAATTTTCAACAACTGTGCTGGATATATATCGTCCCCTCCGCATTAATGACATCATCTTGAGTGCCCTTGGGAACCACTGGTGTCTGGTAAGGTTCAACGAAAATTACCACCGAAAACAAATGTTATTACACCCATAACCTTATTGTTACACCTAAGACCTTTTAATGTCCGATCAATTGCATGCTTCGATATGTGGTCTGTGACTCTTTGTACACGCTTATCCTAAACAACGAATAATGTTTCTATAAATTTAAATTTAAGTGATCGTTCTTTTCCATACAACTCTTATAATATTAAAACTATTTATAGTTTATAATTTCAGAAAGTGTATACTTACGACAGAGTAGGTAATCTTGGTAACATAACTGTAATTAAATTGTGAATTATATATCACTCGTAGGATTATTTGGTATAATGTTGTGGAGAAAAAAAATTGAAAAATATTTAAAAAGTGGTACTACCTAACCTTCAGTAGTCTACTGTCAGTCTGCCAGGAATAAAAGTAAAAAATTTCAGCCAAATCGATTCAGTAGTTTTCTCGGTTAGCGTGGTTGTAGATAAACCCTTACAATTTTATATAATAAAGTAAGTACAGATAAACTTTATGAATTTATAGACTTATAGTTATATAATTTATATATTTACTTTACTTAGAACATATAAATTAAATAAAACCGTTAATTAGGTAAGGTTGCGTTGTCAGTTCAACCTTCAATTACGAAAAAAAAGTTAGGCTAGGTACCTACACCTACACTTATCTCAATTGTGCTTTTGGGAATTATTTGAGGAGTTTTCTATGGCCCTACACTCAATATGATAATCTAATATTATGGTAATATTCACATTATAAACCGTTATACTCACCTAGATAATATTTTCTATGCGAGAATTAGTAGCCAAACAATATAGTAAACACACATTTTTATAATGCAGATAAGGTGAATGATAAGACAAATCATGTTTATCTATAACAAATATATGCATGATCCATGATTCTATAGCTACTATATAGTTACATTGTTGATTTTTTGAAAATTTTCTGTACATGAAGAACTGAATACACAAGATAAACTAGTTTCACATTTCTAAATTATATATTATTTTTTTATCACCTATTAGTTGTTTGATATTTGAACGATGGATAATATGGAATATCTTGGTGAAATTGAATTACCCCCAAAACAAATTAACAGTCAAATTATGATAAATATAATCGAAGGGAAAGATTATTATAAAAGCCATATTGACACTTATGTTATTGTCGAAGTTCCGTTATATTTTCGTGATAAAACAGCAACCAGTAAACCATCAACTTCTCCATCTTATTTCAAAGTAATAACTTATTCTTAAATTAGGATTTTTATTTTTATTTTATTCTTTGATGTAATATATACTACTATACAATAAGTGTTATTGAATAAATAAAATATTCTAGACATTTATAATTGATCTTCCGACATCGTTATTGAATAATGTATTGAACACACACATAACCATTACCGTGAGTTATAATAGATTATTGTTATAACTTAGATCATAAAAGTGTTTATAAATGTAAATGTATGTTCTACAGAGCGATTGATTGGACGAGTAATTTATGAGTTATAAGTATTTTAAGTATAGACAAGTGGTGAAGTGGACAAACATTTTGCGGGGTAACCCTGTACCACTCCACTCTGCCAATCTAAACTTTAAATACCTATTACTCATAAACTACTAGCGCTAAATTCGATATTTATGAATAAAAATACTTAGAAAAATATTCTGCTTTGGAATATGTAATTAAAACTCTATGTTATTCAAAAAAGTAAAAAACTTAAAAAATATAATTTTCTAATAAAAGCGTTGGTTTTTTAACAACTTAAAACTATTTAAAAAACTATTTTGAAAAAAGTCAACACTTTTTCAAATAATGAGTGTTGTTTGATAAATCAATCACCCTGTATATTATAATATTTTATATTTTTGAAGGTATGTGAATCGCATAACATATCATCGTTGACAAAAACAGTTATTCTTGGGAGTGTTGTTTTACAAATGTCTACAATTTGGTCAGAACCAGGTAATCAACAATCTAATTTAACCATTATTGATAAAGTCGTCAATTAGCCATCAATGATGACATTATAATAAGATTTAAAACTTAAAACCAACAACTTATTACAAGATGATTTTTTTTACAGTTAACAATTATTATCTTGAAAATAATTTTACGTTTTTAAATTATTTTTTGCATAATTAGAAATCATTACAAAGCAAAACATATTCTTAGCCAAGCGACGAATGTATTGATTTTACAATGATATAGGTATATGTGTATATTTTTTTATTGTTATGTTTGTAGATTTGTAGTAGAAAAATCGACTTTTAACTTCAATTTATTTCATGGCAGAACAATTATCCTAATTGTTACCTTTTGGTGGTCAAAACTAAAAATTCCAAGTACTTTTCAAAATAATCAGGTGTGAGAGAGGGGACTATGGAAAAACGAATATTTCTTTTTCTTTCCTGATTACCTTGTAGCTTGTATATATATTACTGGGAAATTTAGATCTAATTTTTTGATAAAATTTTCCTTTAAAGTTGAAGATCCGAGCATTTTTTTCTTCTATAAAAATATCATCATAGTCCTCTTAGCTAGTCCATAAAAAAAAATTTTTAAAAAACACAAACAATTTTGCTCCACTAGACTATTCAAAATTTAAAGCTAAAATGTCAATACTTTTGAATAATATTTGTATGTTGTAAATAAACTCCAAATACTTACTGACCTATTTATTTTCAACAGACAAATCGTTTCGTAATAAATGGTTGGCTTTAATTGATTACGGRACAAATGACTTGGGAATTCGAGGATATTTAAAATGTGATATAGTAATGTTCTGTGAAAGCCATACGATTAATAATTTAATCCTATCAAAACCATTAGGACCCACAAGAGAAGATTTAAAATTTAATAAAAAGTTTGTAAAATAATATGAATATAAGCCAAGAGATATTTATTGTTTAAGTAAACTTTAATGTACTATTATTGG